ACACACGTGTCTGTGATGAGCTTCCCTCCTGAACCGTGTAATACCGATCTGGCTCTGAAGTGCAGCTTGTTGGCAGAAGTAAGCCTCAGTTTGTTTTCTGTAATGACTCCTCGGTGCGGATGACGTCTGTTGTGATCTTCGCGACTCACTTAACATCTCCACATCTCCGTCCCATTACCCACATGTTACACCCACAGGGGCCATAACAGAAATGCTTCAGTGGTTTTTATTGCAGGGATGATCGCTCCAATCAGTTGAGTTTTTAGAAAATTTAGAGAGTGTTGAAATCACACAGCCTGAAATGTATTAAATCTTAACTGCGCCCACCTTCGTTGACCTAAAAGAACAAATAAATGCACTTTTATCTGCTTTATCTTCTTTTTGTTTACACCACAAATTACAACCGTCTGATGGAAAGTTTTTACTGTTTACACCCAGCCGCGCCGACAACAGACAGGAAATACCAGGTAATTGTGCTGAACTCTCTGTCACCTTTCTGTTTTTACCCCTCCTTCCAGGAAAACCTGCAGCAGCTGATCCTCATGCCGCTCCCAAATGTCGCCATCCTGGGGCAGGACCCCCTAACAGGTACGAGATAAGAACCAGATCCTATCAGCGCCGCGAGAAACTCGTTACTTCACGCACGAGGCTTTCTGCGAGGCACATTAGGGTGATAATGATGAGGAGGGTGGTGGAGGTGATGAAGGGTGGGGTATGATGATGGTGATGATGATGATGATGATGAAGATGACAGTTATTTCTTTGTCCTCAGAGGCAGCTATGGAGGAGCTCAGGCGACTGCTGCTGCTCTTACTGGGCTGTGCGGTGCAGGTGAATGAACACACACACACACACACAAACAGATGTTTGTTTTTGTATTCCTGCGGGGACCGTGGATTGACTTCCATTCAGTTTTTGTTAATTTTATAGCCTAACCCTGACCATTTACCCTAAAACTAACCTCACAGGTTAGTTCTACCTGACCCTGAAACTAACCTAAAGCCAGTTCACACCTTAGTCTTAAACCTAAGATCCCCACGAGGCTGCCTTTTTCTGGAAAATGGTTCCTACGATGTAGCAAAAACGTGCCCACACACTCCTACATGCACACCTAAACACATTTTAAATGGAGCGCTTTTAGGAAAATTCAAACTTTTTTCCCTTTTTTTAAAATCTTTCTCCACAACAACTAAGTAAAAAGGGCCAAATTGTTAACTTTGCACTTCATGTCTTTGAATGTCTGCAGAAGAGAGCAGGTGAAACCTCCAAACAAAACTCAAGGACTTTTTTCTTTAAGTAGTTCCAGTACTAAACCTTCACTTCTGCATGATATCCTGAAATCTAAAAAGGGTTTTCTCTAGATTATTCCACTTTTTTCAAACCAGTACAAAGTCCGACGTGAATGGTGGTCAAGCGGTTCAAACATTTGATCACAAACTTCTGCTTCTTTTGGCTGCTCCCTGTTCAGGCGAGTCATCCTTCTCTGTGTCCTTCCTTCATCTACCTCCATGTCGTCTCCAACTGCATCCATATGTCTCCTTTTTTTCTCACAGCTTCATCTCTAACCAGTTTACCCACTCTCTCTCTTTTCAACACGTCTAAACCATGTCATACATGTCCACACCTTTGGACATTTACCTGTATACTGACTCTCAGACAAAAAATTTGTGGTACTGGGTGTACTGGTGGTTGGATTTGTAGTGGACAAGCAGACTGTTGAGCAGGGAGAGAAGGTGGCAAACCCATTTCCTTACAGCCTGCCAGCTTTGAGACTTAAATTTGAAGAAGAGTTAAAAAAAACAGCAGGATTACCGTTGAGGTCTGTAAACAGGCAAAATAGGGGAAAATCTGTGTAATTACTCTAACTTTATCACCAAGTCCTTCAACCTGTGCTCTACTTCGGATGACCTCATTCCTAATCTGATCCATCCTTGTCTTCTCCAAGAAGAACCTCAACATCTTCATCTTCCCTCCTGTAAACCTGTCCTTTGACCTTTGCTGCCACCATTTTAGCAACAAATCACCCCTGAATCTTTCCTCCACCCTGCCCGGACTTTCTTATCACTTCTTGTTTTCCTGTAGTCGACTCGAAGTCGTTGAAGTCTTTGAAGTCCTCCTCATTGTAGCCTCACTGGTCCACCTCATTAACACACCCGTGCTCTGTTTTACCACGTCTGTGCGCTCTGAGAAACATCCAGACGATTCCTCTGCAATTTTGAAGCAAACCTTTTGATTGTGAAAAAAATCTCCTTTTTATCCACTTTGAAAAAAAGCAGATAAATGGATCTGAGCTCAGCTGGCTGTCCTCCTGTAAGGTCGTCAGATGATCGGTGACTGGTGAAATGATGAACCAGGAAGTCTGTGGGTGTTTTTGACTTGCAGGCTTTGGGACAATTTACACGCCGCATAGGATTTTCTTTTATCCTTCTTACCTCAACCTGGATCTTGTTTCCCAGTTTTTTTGCCCCCTCTGACATCCAGCAGCAGATTTTAGATGTGATTTACTTTTCATTTATGTCCAGACATGAGTGGGCTTCAGTCAGAGTGTAGGAGGGTCCCCCACAGCTCGCCAGCAAGTATCAAAGCAAAAGATCTGAACATTTATTCAATCAGCAGGTTTCTGTCAAATAACACTTCAAAGTATATTTTTTGCTCTGTCAAGCTTAGGCCTTTTTTTTGTCCTTTTGTATGTAGAGTGTTAAAACTGAGCCTTTGATTTGTCTGAATGAGCTAAAAAAACAAACGGATGTCTTTGAGATTTAGGTAGATTTATTCTTTGAAGCATCAGCTTTAAAATAGCTTTACCTTGTTAGCAGGAGGTACTTTGATCAAACACAGAACAATCACCTCATTAAATTAAACTAACCCGCTTTAAAATGAGAAGCTACCACACATAAAATTGTAATTTATTTTTTAATCATTCGAAAACAACGACTCGTCCAACTCGTGGTACAGATTGGAAGTAGTTTGGTGGACAAACATCAAGACTTTCATACCAGAGAAATTAAGTTAATATTATTTGAAAAAAAAAGACAATAGTGTCAGACTTTGAGGTATAATTTTTAAATGTGTAAACAAATAAGAGTTTATTCAATTCCAGTATGTGCTGGTAATGACTCTTGGCTACTACAGCCTCAGTTTTGTGCTGAGGCTGATTAGCTGGTTTGTTATTGCTCCGTTACCATAACAGATTTTAGCACCTTATCCGTAAAAAATTATAAAATTGTAGTAAATTTTGTTTGTTAAAGTAACAGAAGGTACTGATTTCGATATCATAGTTTTGAATTCAGTCATGTCAACACTTCAGTTTAAAGTGGAATTTATTTCTTTCTTTATTTTTTAATCAAATAAATTTTTGTTGATAGTTTGATCTCCAGTTTGTTTGTTTTTTTGTAAAATCAGCAGTAGGGATGTCCGACAATATCAACCTACAGATATTATCAGTCCAATATTAGCATAAAAATATAAAATCTCTACATATCGGTTTTTCTTCTGAAAACAAAGGCCCGATAAATTGATGCCTGGATTTGAATGTGTTAATAAATGTTTGTAGTCCAGAGATGTTCACCGGCGCGCGATTGATGACATCATCAAACTGGATTATCTCAGGGAGAGCATGATCCAAACTGTTGTTTGAGACAAAATGTTAAAAATAGATATGGCACTTTTCCATAACTTGAGTTAAATGTTTTTTTTTTAATTTGTTTACATATGGAATGTATCCAGTGGGGTATCAAAAAGCAGACATAATGTCCCTGACAGGAGTTACTGTATGTCATGTCACCTTAAAGGGATCCCTGATTAGTTGTAACATTAGACTTTATATGATAAACATATATTTTAACTGCAAAATAAAGACTGTAAAAATACTGTAAGATGTTCAGTTTTTATAAATTTTAAACTAAAAATTTAAAAATATATTACACGTACGGGGCCATTTTTTTACACGCAAAGCATTCTGGGTAAATGATGACGTGGATAGGTCATCGGTGCGAGGCTGCTAGCGAGCTATATCCACCCTGAAGGTTAATCTTGGACGATATCTGACGATCGGCTCTTTTAAATGAAACCAGAGAGCGTTGACAGAGAGGAGAAGGTAGAAATGACTCAGCCTGGAACTGAAAATATGGATGGAGGACAACAGAGCTGCTTCATGGAAGAAGAACCTCAGCTTAGCCTGTTAGCTTTAGCGTTAGCCCCGACGCTATCACCATATACAGTTTATGTATTAGTTCAGCGCTACACATTCTCCTTTCATCACTGAGGTCTTCCATCCACATGACAGAGAGGTTAATGCAAAAATGACTCAGCCTGAAACCGAAAATATGGATGGAGGACCTCAGTTTAGCTTGTTAACTTGTTTATCACGCTAGCGCTGAGCTAATAGGCAATATAGCATCAGCGCTAGCACATAAGCTAACAGGCTAAGCTGAGGTTCTTCTTCGATGAAGCAGCCCTGTTGTCCTCCATCCATATTTTCAGTTACAGACTGAGTCATTTCTACCTTCTCCTCTCTGTCAACGCTCTCTGGTTTCATTTAAAAGAGCCGATCGTCAGATATCGTCCAAGATTAACCTTCAGGGTGGTTATAGCTCGCTCTCACCGATGACCTATCCACGTCATCATTTACCCAGAATGCTTTGCATGTAAATAAAATGGGTCCGTCCGTGTTAAAATATGTTTTAAAAAATTTACAAAACTAAACAGCCTACAGTATTTTTACAGTCTTTATTTTACAGTTAAAATAAATGTTTATCAAATAAAGTTTAATGTTACAACTAATCGTGGATCCCTTTAATTTCGGTTTGTAATATCGGTTAATACCGGAATCAGAAATTAAGTGTTGAACAACATCGGCATATCGAATATCGACAAAAAGTCAATATGGAGCATCTCTAATGAGCAGGAGTTTTCTCACTCATGGCAGATTCTGGTGTAATGGCGTCTTTGAATGATGATTTGCAGCTGTTTAAAAAAATGTTGTAAATACTCATTTTGCTTCTGTCCATCTGCAGTGTGAGAACAAGGAGACTTTCATTCAGCAGATCCAGTCCCTGGACATCGAGACTCAGGCAGCCATCGCCAGCTGTATCCAGCAGGTAGGAGGTGAATCAAATCACCATAAAAGGTGTCCACTGGCAGATACTTTCCAGCGGGGAGCGATTCTAAAAGGATGTTTTTGTTCCTGGATGTGACACAGCTGAAGAGTTTCTTCCACGTCCACCTTTAGTCACACAGAGCTAATCTATTATTGCTTCTTCTGCTGCTTTCAGTTAAGTGTGAAAATGAGCTACTTGTCATTCTGCCGGCGGTCCTGTAAGGACCTCTGGGTGCTTCACCCTCCCCCGTCCCCCCCACGGTGATGGATCTTCCACTCCTCGTGTCCACCTCTCCACCTCCACCTCTGTCACATCACCATCTTCCCTTCATCTCTGTCACGCTCCATCATCTCTAAGGCATAAATGCACTCGTTTTTTTTAAAGTACTCTCTCCCCGCTTCTTCTTTTCCCATGAATAATTGCCAGCATTACAAAAACAGCATGTAGCGCACTAGTGTGGCTGAATTTCTGAAGTTGCCCGCCAGCCTTTTTAATGCCAAATTCTTCAGCCTAATAAATCACAGGAGGTGAGAGGTGTGGATGAATGCCCCCCCTGCTTCCTGTTCATATGGCGTCCGCCTGCGGACATTTCAAAGCCGTCAACATCATCATTAGTTTTGCATGCGTTAGTCAGGCCTTTTTATTTATTTATTATATTTTGGATACTTTTCCCTGACAGAATGTGGACCCAGACCCCCACCCCCCCACCCCAACAACCATCACACATGCTCAGTATTCACAGCTCAATGTCTGGGTTGTTTGTCCCCAGATTGTGTCAAACTAACATTTTGTTTTTATCATACGAGGCCTGAGAAACTGTCTCTCCTGCAGGTGACTCAGGACCCTCGCACGGCACTACCGCTTCAGTGGGAGGAGCTGGTGGAGACCGAGGGCGCAGACCTACAGCTGGTCTTCGGCTCCATGGCCAAACAAATCCAAAACCTGCTGGCGCAGAGAGACGCGCACCTGGAGGTACGGGCGCACATACATCACTGAATGATTTACTTCATCTAGTTTGGATGAGACCTAAATGCAAGTAGGGGTCTCTGCAGTACAAAGGGGGAGTTTCTTTGTTGTGTGGGCGGAGTTTGTTCTAACTACAATTGGTGAGGTTTGTAATATAGGCTTAGTTGTTGAATGTGGGCGGAGTTTGGTAAAACAGTGATTTGTCGGATTGTGGGGCAAGTTAAAAGATGAAGAAATAATAAAACTTTTATATATTTATAACGAATATAATTTATTAACCATCTATTTATAGTTTCTCAAAAATGATTGAGAACATCCAAACATAATTAATTGACTTCAAATTTGGTGCAACTACGACCTTCCTGTCTCGAGTTAAGACTAATATTTAGTGCCTGTGACATGCATATTCTTCAAATACAAAAGGTCAAAGAAAACATCTTTATATTTAAAAAAACTGACATAATACACGCAATTTTGCCCATTTTGTAACATAACTGGCATATTTTCTTTTGAACTTGGCTCAGCAAAAGTGAAACAGGAAGTGACATCAAAGGGGAAATATTTAAGAAAAGGAACTCTCTGGTCTTTGTTTATTGAAATATTATTTAAACTCTAACTCCTCCTCATCTGTCCCTGATTGTGACTCAAAATAATTTCAAAAAATATCAAATTCTTCTCTACAGTCTGTGTTGTTAGCCATTTTAATAACACTCTGTTCACATGCAGACATTCCCATTTGACGTCACTTCCTGTTATTTTACTTGCAAATATCTCAACAACAGTTCATCCCAGCGGTGTGAAAATTGTTTTCTAGTATGCTATTAATGTTGTTATTCCAAAAATGCATTCATATTTAATACAAAAATTTGATCTCACAGTCACTTTAATATTTATATTAAAAATGGGGATCTGTTTCCAGGTGGGTTAGAGCTGTTTTGACCAAGCCGAACTGTTGCACGTCCGACCACATGTTCGGCATTCAAATTTGGTGTGACTAGCACTTTCCTGTCTCGAGTTATGACTGAGATTAATGTTTATATTTGAAGTTACAGGTGCTTCGATCGAGTTACACGTCCTCCCCCCAACTGCCCAGCCCAAAGATGTGATTGGTCAGACTTTACCAAACTCCACCCACAAAGGTCAAACAGACCAATCATGTGTCTAACAAACTCCTCCCACACACCGAGAACCTCCCACTTAGTGACTGTAGAGACCTCCTTCTCCCTACAGGAGCGTTCAGGTTGTGCAAACTGAAAATAAGATTACCGTCATACAGTTAAAGTAACATTTATCGCCAGAAAATCAGGAAGTAAATATTACAGCTGCTAAACATTTGGAGCCATCTTAATTCAAGATGACTGCCACTGCTAATCAACAAAACTGGCTACAAATCAGTGAACTTTACTGATATCGACCTAAAATTTGGTGTGGTAGTAGCTGAGAGTCACAACATTAAAATCCAATGTAAAGTATGGAATTAAATGTGTTATTTAATGAGTTTTAAATGAGTTTTGTTTCTCTTCTTCTCAGAGAATAGCAGAGCAGGAAGCTCAGGTTGATTCAAGGCCGACACCCCTGGGTGGCATCGGCGACAAAGCCCCCCAGAGTCTGACGCTCCAGCTGGCAGACAGCAAGGCCAAACTGCGCCGCCTTAAACAACAACTGTGAGTGTGTGTGCGCATGTGTGTGTGTGATGGATAAACCCTTGAGAACCTTTAGCAAAGTTGCGATAAAAGGTCATCGCTAATAACGTGCAAATTTCTGTCGTTCTTCTCTGAGCACAAAAAGCAAGTTGTTACTCGAAGGTCGATGTCGAAGTTTAGGGAAAGGTAAAAAAATTAACATTTCTAAGTTTGTTTTTTTAGTGAATCTAATCTACGGTAATCCTTGACTTTATTAGCCAAGTTGCACCATCTATCTTTTTTTCTTGCTTGCTGGTGTTTATCTCCAGTGGTGATTCTGTGAGAGACAGGGGGACACACTGGACAGGTCCATCACAGAGACACACAGAGACAAACGTTCAGAAACCTAAAAACAATTTACCATTTAACCTAACAGGCATGTTTCCAGTCCATGAGAGGAAACCGAACTACCAAAAACCAGATCTGACAAAATAAAACCATCAAAAACAGCCTGAGTAACTGTTTATCTGTTTGTCGAACTGATGGTTGTTTCCTTCTTTTCGTTTAGGGAAGATAAAGGCGATCAGATCCTGGATTACAAGCAGGAAATTCAGACGATGGAAGATCAACTGAAGAAACTTCAAAAAGAGGTACACACGAATCATGATGGGATTGTAGTTTTTGTGTGCATTCCTTCAGGAATGCAGTAAAAAGGCTGTACTTGAATTGAAAAGCATGAATAATTTGGCAAACGCTTTGGCGTATTTTGCATTTAGTCAGAAAAGCAGCGCTATCAGAACAAAACTTAGCAGCCAAGTGGATTACTCTTATCACCGTGACTTTACTCTTCACAGCCAAACCAGTTGGTAAACATCTCTCCCAGGAGAAATGAACAGTTTGGTACCTTTATCCAAAAACATAAAACACAGTTAGGTTTATACACAACTGATTAATGACCAGATAAAAGCCATCAGGTCCTCCTCTGCAGGTGTGTGTTGGTGGATTTTGAGGTGGCAGTTAAAGGTGGTATCTCACTGAGCTGTGACTAGTTGGAAGATATCATGAGCCTCCAGAATGCCTTTACTGTGGCGGGGTTCTCAACTTCCTGGCGTGAGTTGCAAAAGGTGTGCAGCCTCGTCGCTCAAGCTACAGTTCTAAGACAGGACGTACGTATGACGCCATTATACATGACGTCTCTCTGTCTGCTAGTCTGTGGACAATTTCTTGTCTGAGCTCTAAAGTGATAACTCTTTAACATAGAAGTGTCAAACTGCACAGCTAGATACCTCATTGGTCAAAAATGATCTCTATGGATTTCAAGGTCAGTGGGTCAAAAATCTTGCCTATTCGCTGACAGGTGTAATATGCACTGTTGGCGATTCGCTTGTTTCATTTTGACATATTTTTTGCTTAAAAGGAGAACTGTAGCCAGTGCTACATGTCCGAAATACCTGAAGGAACAGCAGCTCTGCTTTGTTGATGTCACCATTCACATGAGCCACACAAGAATTTTAACTCAATTTTGACAGTTTGTGAAGATGTTCTCAAGTATATTATGGCTTAAATATGTTAAGGGTTTACTATATATTCACAATGTGTCCAAGAAATATAAAAAAATGCTTGTAAGAAGCACAGAAGATTACTGCATTTTAACTGTTTGTTCACATCAAATGTAACTGGTTCTAATGTGGCAGATGGTTGTGTAGATTCTCAGACATTTATTAAAGTAATAACTTATGAAAAAAGTAATAACATATGTACCTTTTGGCGGTAAATCTTCTGATAAATGTTTCATTTTTTTCTCCAGTATTTTCACAGGATTGTTTTTTTTTTTTTTAGTTCTTGTCACCTCATTTGATCTGAAAGCTTTACATGCACTGTTTTGTTAATTTTTTTGAATGTTTATGCTCCAGAACCGAGCTCTGCAGGGTGAGGCCAGGGGCATGAGAACGCTGCGAGATGAGCTGGACTGCGCTCGAGAGCGGGCTGCACGGGCCGAGCAGCTCCAGACAGAGCTTCAGAGCTGTAAACACAGACTAAAGAACCTGGAGCTCACACGCACTCAGCTAAAGGTACACACACACTCAGCTAAAGGTACACACGCACTCAGCTAAAGGTACACACACTCAGCTAAAGGTACACACGCACTCAGCTAAATGTACACACGCACTCAGCTAAAGGTACACACATCTAAAGGTATACACACACAGCTAAAGGTACACACACACCCAGCTAAAGGTACACCCACGCTCAGCTAAAGGTACAGCCATACTCAGCTAAAGGTACACACACACCCAGCTAAAGGTACACCCACATTCAGCTAAAGGTACACCCACACTCAGCTAAAGGTACAGCCATACTCAGCTAAAGGTACACACACACCCAGCTAAAGGTACACCCACATTCAGCTAAAGGTACACCCACACTCAGCTAAAGGTACACCCACACTCAGCTAAAGGTACACACACTTAGCTAAAGGTATACACACACTCAGCTAAAGGTACACACACTCAGCTAAAGGTACACCCACACTCAGCTAAAGGTACACACACTCAGCTAAAGGTACACACACACTCAGCTAAAGGTACACACACTCAGCTAAAGGTACACACACACTCAGCTAAAGGTACACCCACACCCAGCTAAACGTACACCCACACTCAGCTAAAGGTACACAAACACTCAGCTAAAGTTCACATGCACTCAGCCAAAGGTATACACACACACACACACACACACACACACACACACACACACACACACACACACACACACACACACACTCAGCTAAAGTTACACACACTCATATAAAGGTACACTACACACACTCAGCTAAATATATACACACTCAGCTAAAGGTTTACACACAAACTGCAAACACACAGCTCAACAAGTGAACTTGCCTCAGTGAGAAAACAAGCAGCTCAGTCCCATTTACATCAGAAATTACATTTAATCAAATCATTATGGGTAAAAATATCCCACGCAGCACAAAATTTGGAGCTCTTCCTGGGTTTTTATTTGAGTATAATCACACAAACACACAAACTGATGTTAAAAGCTGTCTTCTTGCTCAGTCCTGAGCCTTTTCTCAACATTAAGTACTGTATGAACGATGACGACAAATTCAAAGCCGCAGAATAAGATTGTGCTGTGATGTCATCTGGATTTACAGCTTGGAGCTGCTCCGTTGACAAGGAGCCTTCGGCTACTGGAACTTTTACAGCCGAATAAAATTTATTCTTTGGTAGTGGGAATGTTCTGAAACAGAAAGTGTGCTCAGCTCATATCCTTGTAAAATGTCTCCTGGTGTCCTCACTCTCACCTTCTCAAGCTTATTTGATTCCTTCACTCATCCTGCTGCGTATTTTACTCAGATTAGCTGGCAGGAATGTTTTATTGATTACCACCAATGACCAGTTCTTGTCTGCTGATCGGTGATGTGGCTGCAGAATAAACTAATTTGCGTTGCTCACAGAATAGATTAAACCCAGACTGCAAAGGTAAAAAGATTCAGTAAGAACAAATTATTCGCTTTTTTTTTACTTTTGTTATATTAAAGGATGACTTGTCCTCGTTGTAAAACACTTGTTTGGTGCCCCCTGCAGGAGCAGCAGCAGCTGTGTGCGGCGCTACAGGAAACTAAAACTCTGCTGGAGGAGCAGCTGGCCGACGCTCGGACCCGCTGCTCCTCGCTACGAGAGCTGGAGAAGGACAATCTGCTGCTACGTCAACGAATCATGGACGTGGAAGCGGTGGGCGGAGCTAAGATGCAGATATTACTATTGTTTTTCTGTTTCTCTTTATTTTTCTGTTTTTGGGGGGCTCAAACTATTTCTGCATATTGTATTTATTTAAAAAATTCATATAAATCCCTCAGCTGCATTAACTGTCTTGAATTTTGACTTTGATTGATTACAAGTTTTTCTTTTCAGTTCAATGAAAACTATATCTAATTGTGTATATTAGATTTACTTTTGTGTTGTGCAATTTTTAGTTTTTAGGTAGTTTTATTTTTGTTTTTATTTTGCAGTTAGCTAGCATTTGGCTGGTTTTAACTGTTAGCTAGCATTTGGTTGCTTTTAAATGTTAGCTAGCATTAGGCTGCTTTTAAACATTAGCTAGCATTAAACTGCTTTTAAATGTTAGCTAGCATTAGGCTACTTTTAAATGTTAGCTAGCATTTGACTGCTTTTAACTATTTCAGAATCAGAATCATTTATTGTCATTCACACACAACATCAAAGATGCAATGCAGAACAAAATTTGCAAGTTTAGAACATCCATTCGGAGAAAGACACACATAACAAACATGGGGGAACGAATGTCCAATGTCTTTCGCAACGACGGTCTTGCTACCTTTTGCAGCTTGGAATACACACAAAAGGAAATATGAGTTAAAAAAAGATGCTCTGGTCCTATGTTTACACAGAAACAGAATCATACGCTCAAAAAAAAAAACACTCTCTCAGTTCAAGGTAGCTAAGGAGGGGAGGGGGCTGGGGGTCAAACACATGGTATGGGTGTGATTCAGCGGAGCCGGTGACGTTTCAGGTTAGTAATCCGTGTTGGAACCAATAAAAGACTTCCAGAGTCCAAAACAAGTTGTTATCAACCAAGGCAGAAATCACCAGAGTCAGTTCTCTGTCTCCACCCATCGTGGCCTTCAGACTGATCCACCCAAGGATGATACGGGAAGGGGATGGGGAGTCAAGCCTTTGTTTCACGTGTCATCCAGGGAGTTTGATAACTGCGGAGTCAAGGTCAGCAGCTGCAGGGATCCAAAAGATAAACATAATTGTTTTGGGACAAGCAGCCTTGATTTTCTCACTGCTTTCAGTCTGTAACTGTATCTCTGTGATGGCGAAAATGTCCAGTGTTCCGAATTTCATTACCTCCTCACCTCTCTTTCCGACTGAAACTTCACCCAGGTGTAATGCCTCTGTCAGTGTGCCCCAGGGCAGCTGTGGCTACAATGTAGTTTGCCATCATCAGTGTGTGATTGTGAGTGTGAATGGGTGAATCTCTGTAAGTGTAAAGCGCTTTGAGTGTCCTGGATGGATCGAAAGGCGCTGTAATAGTACAGTTCATTTACCATTTACCATGTAATCCTACTCCTCACAGGCACACTGCTGAACTGTGATTCTCGTCAGAATCACGTCCAGTTTGCGACTTATATCCCCCAGCATCAGAGTCTGTGCGTTTCCAGTACGGGAGACTCCATCCAAGGTTCCTGACAGCTTCTCACAGGCCCGGACTGCTGTCAGAATCGCTTTCATTTTCCGATAAGCCAGGACTCCTCCACAGCCGATCAGCAGGAATCCAGTTATCATAAATCCAAATATGTACAAAACTTCCATGTCTTCAATGGAAAGCGGCGCCAAACAGATGAGGTTCCACCCCCACCAACCAGACACTCGCCCGGCCGCCACCATTCCACTGGAACAGCTGCGCTCCCCTTGCTCCAATCTCAGTGTGGAAAAAATAGTGTCAATTGTGTTCAGAGACCAGTTGACCAAATCCATAATGTTTGCTAACAGTTAGCTAGCCTTTTTGTTACTGTTAAAGGTTAGCTAACATTTCCCTACTTTTAGTTATTGTTTTGCTTGTGTTTTTAGTTTTATTGAGCATTTGCTACTTTTAGACAGTTTTTCCTCTACTTTAAGCTAATATTTCATTACTTTTATTTAGTGTTTTGTTGCTATTAGCTTGTTGAAATGTGTCTATGTTTGCAATAACTGTAGAATTTTGTTCTTTGTGCGCAGACGTTTGTTAACATTATTGTCTTCAGCATTTTATGACAGATGTGTGTGTGTGTGTGTGTTTACACCTGTAGGAGCGGGACACCGAGCGGCAGCGAGTTGATGAGCTGCTGGAAATGAACATGAGCCTGGAGGAGGACCTGAGGCACAGGAGAACCTCCAAGGGGAACGTTCCTCCATCTATTATTTCAATCCACGAGCGCTTCCTCCACTCAGAGCTGGATTCTGACGAGGACCTGAGCGATCTGATTGGTCAGAGGACCTGCCTTTTTTGTAAATTTTATTATTTAGGAGAAAATATCTGCTGATTGAATCTTTTCATGGAACCTTCTGTTTTGTTTTATTGTTCCTCCTCTTTTCTGTCTCAGACCACAAGCCTCTGAGTGTGGAAGTAGATGAGGCTTCGACGCTGAGGCTGCTGGGAGCAGAGCAGGAGAACGCCGAGCTGAGGAGGAGGCTGGAGGAGCTGCAGGCCCAGCAGGAGGTCAGGGTTCAGAGAGCGAGGGTTGAAATAATCGATAACTCGTCGTCCCCTTTTTTGTTAAATGAATTTTAATCTTTAATATGAAAGAGAGATGATATTTGGAGGCATCTAATCAGGTTTAATAAAGGTTTCCTATCTGTCTGCTCTCTGCAGGATGACTCTGTGAAGGATGAGCTGGAGCTGCAGCATCAGAACACGCTCAGGGAGGTGAGCAGAACTGAAGAGTTTACAGTTTTAATTATCTGCCACTTTTTATTTAAACAAACAAATCGTCTTTATCCTGTTTTTATACAAAAAAGTTTTAAATATGGTGCTGTTAGTGAAGCTCAGTTCTATATTTATCTTCAATCATTACGCTGAGATTAGTGGTTCATAAGATATTTTGCTAACATGCGTTTATTAAAATGGGTTGTTTTTGAGTTTATATGCTGTAATTATGAGCTAACGTTCAGTTGTTTATTATGTGCTTTAAACATTAAACTGTTTTTGAAAAGTCAAACTTTCAGAATATTAAACGTGGCAGAATGCAAACGTTACGTGATTAATAATTATATTTGATGCTCAATAAATCCTGAAACTGTCATAATTTCCATATTTTCGACTCGGCGCACTGCCACAGTACATTTAAATTAAAGCAATCAGAAGTGATTGAAGTGAAGACTTTTATTCAAGTGGTTTTATAAAAAAGTTACAGAGTTATCAGTTTAGGAATGCCATCTATTGATCCATTTTTAGAAACCCTCTGAAATAAAACGGACCGTCTGCTCTTCAATCACATCCTGATTGCTTCATTTGACATCTATTGTGCCGTCGGGGCACAGAGGTAGAAAAAAACATTTTTAATACGAGTTTATACTTTTAAATCTTATTTATTAAAGTGCCTATTATTTGTTTAAGAAGTGAATGGGTCAGTTACCTGCAGGAGCCACAGCAGCAGTTTTATTAGAGCTGATTAAATAGACTCAGGTGTTAATAGCAATAATATATATTTTCTAGTTTTTCCTGTGAAATTTGCATCAATACCGTCTACTGCTTGCTTGTGCCTATTTGTGTAGCTTTGTGTCTGTTAGCAAAATATCTCACGACTTTTATAGAAACTCTCAGGATGTAACCTTTCTGTGAACATCTGCAACTGATTCACAACTAACAGTTCAGTTCAGTTCAGTTCAGTTCAGTTCAGTTCAGTTCAGTACCTTTATTGTCCCCACAAGGAGGGAAATACGATTTGCAGCCAGGCATTTCCAACATACAAACACAACATATAGACAATGTCGAAGCATACAGCAGCAATTTATAAAGGTTTGAATAAATTTTAAAACTATAAATTTAAAACTTAAAAAAATCTGATTACTCTGGGTACAAAGGAGTTTTAACATCTGTTACTCTAAAATCTAAACCTCTGTTTTTGCAGCCAGGGATTCCTAACTTAGACAATGTTAAAAATATACAAACATAAAAAAGCAGCCGTCTGTAAATTTATAGATGAGATTTAAAAAGTACAAGTTCAGAAAATTTAAAACTATGAGTTTAGAGATCTGATTTCAGTGGGTACAAAGGAGTTCTTCCATCTGTTACTTGTAATCCTGGGGAGCCTAAACCTCCGGCCGGAGGGAAGAAGCTGGAGTTCTTTAAAGGGTGGTCTGAGCAGTGTAGGACAGGCTTTGCTTTTTGGGCAATAAACAAATAAAAGTATCGTTAAGTGGGGATTGGGTTATCCCGATTATCTTGTTTGCCACAATAATAATTTTGTTTAAGCAGTTTTTGTTCTGAACACTAAGATTTCCAAACCAAGCAACTATAGAAAAAGTTAAAACAGATTCAATAAAAGACTTATAACAGGCTCTTGATCCTTCTGTTAACACTAAAAGTGTTCAACTTCCTTAAAAAGTATAGTCTTTGCTGTCCCTTTTTGCAGATAAAATCAGTGTTCAAATCAAAACCTAACTTATCATCAAAATCGATAGTCAGTGTTCATACAGTATCTTTCATTTTTGAAGGATTTAGTTTTAAATTCATTTGAACGCACCACCGAACAAAGTCATTAATAACTGGGCCGTGTTCATCTTCCACATCCTGCAACAAACTAACGATCACTGTGTCGTCAGCAAATTTCAGGATGTATCTGTTTGGAAAGTAAGTAAAGTTTTATTTATAAAGCGCCTTTCACAGAAATATATTCACAAGGTGCTGTACAATCATTAACAGTATAAAAATGGTGGAAAGAATGAAATGAAACAGAAAAACATAATTACACATAAGCAACGAAAAATTGAAACATCAAATCAAGAAATTAATTTCAAAAATTGTGATTCAAACACAAGGTCAGTGCAGTTCAAAATATACAATAATACACAAAAACATAACGAATGCGCAAAGGTGCTTCAACAGTCATTACTATAGAGGACAAACAGGAGGGGGGACAAGACACAGCCCTGTGGAGAACCCTTAGAAGAAAGAAAGAGGTGTAGATAAATGATTGTTTATTATTATTAGCACATTCAAAAACAGCTTTAACTCAGTCAGTTTTACAGATATTGAGTTAAAATGTGATGTGGTAGTAGCTGAGAGTTGATGTTTTTGTTTAGTTTTTTTGTAAATCATTATTGCTTAAATATATTTTTGGTAAAAAAAAGGGGGGGGGGGCAGATATTATAAGATTTCTTTCTTCTTTCTGCTACCTTTCATTTTATTTAATATGTATATTTTTTGTATTCTATTGTACATAGTTGTTTTAAATTAATACATTTCTTTAAAAAATGTATATTATTTCACAACACTTACTCCAAAGTGTGACACTTTGTACATAAATGTATTTTTAAGGTTTGACCCCAAATCGACCCAACTTTATCATTTTTTATGAAAAGTTTTATCTTCTAACTATTTTCAGTTCAGATAGGAACAAAAAAAAATCAAAACATTTTAAAGCTTCTCTCCGATTCCTTCTTGCAGTTTCAAAACTTGAAGAATGAAAACGCCACTTTAAAGCAGCGCCTGCAGGAGCTGCTGAGGAAACTTCAACACCTGCAAGAGCAGAAGCAGGAGGAGGAGGAAGGTGTGGAGAAGCCGAGCGGAGAGGAGGAGGAGGAGGAGGAGGAGGAGGAGGTGGTGAGAGGAGTTCAGGGCTCAGAGACACCTCGAGGAGAAGGAGAGGGAAGGGTGAGGGCGACGGTGGGGGGCGAGAAACGAGGAGAGACGATGCAGCGAGAAGCAGGGGTGGGAGAGGAGGGTCTGCACGTCCGACGGGCGGGGAAAGGTGAACTTTGTGACAAGGAGGTGAAGGTCAAAAGGAGAGGAGAGGCAGAGGGAGGGCAGAAAGAAGCGCACAAACGGGAAGAGGAAAGCGAACAAAAGTTGGAAAACGCCACGTTAACGACGGGCTCGGCGCCCCTAAAACCTCCATCAGAGGACGACCCGGACGCCACGCACCCGACGGTGTGTTCGCTGTCCGCTCCAGACCTGGAGCTTCTGACACACCGGCTCCAGGAGGAGGCCGACAGACAGGCTGGTCTGGCCCAGGATCTGCGCTCCAAGCTCGGGGAGCAGAGCAGGAGAACGTGGGAGGCCGAGCAGAAGCTGGTTCTGGTGGAGGCCGAGCTGCAGCGGCTGAAACGGGCCGCGGAGAGTCTGGTGGAGGCTCGCAGGCAGGTGGAGGTACGTCTGCAAACAGAACAGAAAACCTGCTGGAGAAATTTAAAGTCTTTGATGTGGAGCTGAAAGTGTCAGATAGTGCTCTAAAGAATCATCTGTGTAGGCACGCAAAGATAACCTCTCACCAGACTGCAGATCCTCTTCATTCTACCGTCTGACTCAAGCAGATTTAGTTCCACGCTAAAAAAAATTAACTGCAGTTAATTGGACGGGTCACAATCGGACCTTTTATTTGAGTCGGGCCAGAGAGGTGGCAGCTCAACACGATGTACTCTGGGAAAAAAATAAAAACTGTAAAATTAGTCATCCAGAGTTTAATGAACATGGCTGAGGTCGTACAGAGTTTAAGAGAAAAATACAGAAATTCTTTTAAAATATGAGGAAAAACCAAGATGGATCCCAGAGGAAGGAAAACACAAGAGAAGAGATGATTTAGACTTCAGAGGTGGAAGATAAAAAGTAGACAAAAAGAAAAAAATTTTGTAGGTCTTCTGGACGGGTTCTTCTCTAATRAAACGTTTCGTCTCTCCTCCAAGAGACTTCTTCAGTCTGAGAGTTTCAGGCAAAATTCAGGCTTTTAAGCACTGCCTCCATGTAACTGATACTCACATCACATGGCTATCGTTGACACCTAATTAACACCTATTGTTAACGGGGTGGAGTGATACTGGCAATAGCAGCGCTGTAGGAGGGGGACAACTGAAAACGGAGGCCTCCACCTCTGTTTAATGACGGACGGTCTTTCTTTACAAAAATGGCTTCTTTTACTCCTCTCTCAAACCAACGTTCCTCTCTATCAAGAATGAGAACATCCTCATCTCTGAAAGAGTGACCGCTGGCCTGTAAATGAGTGAAAACTGCAGAGTTCTGGCCATTAGATGTAGCTTGTCTGTGTTGGGACATTCTTTTGGACAGTGGCTGCTTTGTTTCCTCGATGTATAACTGGTCGCAGTCCTCCTGGCACTTAACAGCATATACAACATTGCTCTGTTTGTGCCGGGGCACCGGATCTATGGGGTGAACCAGCCTTTGCCGTAATGTGTTTTGGGCTTTGAAAGCCACTGGGACATCATGTTTAGAAAATAAACGTCTCAGTTTCTCCGAAACACCCGCAACATACGGAATAACCACTGGTTTGGGTCTGGGTTTGGGGTCTTCATTTTCACCTGAAGGTTGCATGGAATCCTGTCTGTGTTTCCTGTCTGCTTTCAGGAAAGCCCAGTCAGGATAACCACACTGCTCCAGGGCCTGTCATGTGTGTGATTTCTCTTTCTCCCTGGCTCCTGGGTTTGTAGGGACACTGTCTGCTCTGTGGTACAGAGTCCTGATCATCACTCCTAACTTGTGTTCCAGTGGGTGGTGGGAGTCAAAACGCAAATATTGGTCTGTGTGGGTGGGCTTACGATACACGCCAGTTTCCAACCGTCCTCCATCCGAAACCGAGACATCGCAATCCAGGAACGCCAACCTGCCATTTTTTACATCCTCTCGTGTGAACTTAATATATTCATCCACAGAGTTGATGTGATCAGTGACATGTTGGACTTCTGTCGTCAACATATCTGTACCAATGGCTCGGTGGCACCCCTGAAAAGGACATCAAAAAGAGAGCCTTGATGTCCTGAAACTCTCAGACTGAAGAAGTCTCTTGGAGGAGAGACAAAACGTTTCATTAGAGAAGAACCCGTCCAGAAGGTCTACACAAATTTTTCTTTTTTATTTTTTACCTGGATTACTGAGATGCATCAGGACATAAAAAGTAGACATGTTCAAAACAAACTGTTAATTGTTTCACAGAAATTTAATCTCATCAAACAGTCGTATTAATTAAACGTAGCGTTGGCTCCAATACTTCCTGGTCCAGTTCAGTTTTATACAGATCCAGGTCCGTGACTCAGTAATGAGGTTTTCACGTTGCGGTCTCTTCAGGTTCTGCAGTCGGAGGCTCTGGTCGTGGAGGAGGAGCTGTGCCGCCTGCGCAGCCAAGCCGAGCTCCACCGGATGCAGACCACCGTCATCGCCACCCTGGAGGGAGAGCGAGCCACTCTGGAGAGAGAGAGGGACGCTCTGCGCGGCACGGTGGACGCCCTGCGGGCCGCCCAGCGCAAGGTTGGAGCGCCAACACGCACGAATACACACGACCGGGCAAAAGTCTTGTGTCGTCCCTTCCTTCTTACTTCCTGAATTGAGACGCAGGCAAAGAAACTTAGAGGAAGCTAATGCTAACTGCTAAGAAGGTTAGCGGGACTGACGCAAACCTGTTGTTAGATTTTTATTGGTTTAATTTGGTGGGTGGGATCCTCTGTGGCATATCGGTCAATCCAAACCAGAGTTTTAGCTCTGTCTAACTGCTGAAACTTCCAGTTGACCCCTTTCAGAAAAAAATTCTTTACTTGAGTTTGCATTTTTGTAAATACAACAAATAGCAAATACTCTCTTATTTCTTTACATAGTCATTTTTTACATTCATTATTTAAATATTGAATGTTTTATTTGTTTTTGATGCTCATAGTTTGAAGTCAGCTGTTAAAGATGCTACATGCACACACACGGTGCTGGATAGTTAATTTATTTTGAGATAAATGGCCTAAAAATAAATGTTTTACACTTTTTTATTGGACTTGAAACTAGAGGAAGCCAATTTAGTTGAAGCTAATCAGTCCACTAACAGTTCCCAAAGTTAGCAAAAAGGCTAATCTGCTAAATGAGAAGCTAGTTCCAAAATGAGTGGGTCAGTGGAACTGGTCCCACCTCTGGTTTCTTTGCTTCACTCTTTAGTTTTGAACATTTCTAGAAGAACATTTTTGTTTATTAAACCACTTAACTGATATATGATCTATGATTTAGACCAAAACACACAAACAACAGCTGTGTCGACCAACTTAACCCAGGATAAAGGTGAGATTTAATTGCTTTATTACAAGCAGCCTGTCACATTTAATCCCATTTCTTCAGCTGAAAAATGGCAAAAATAACAGTTTGACACATAAAATAGTATTTTAGCAGGAACAACATGATTTGATGGAAACTTTGAAACAGCAGATGATCAGATGAAGGTGTGGGGTCTTCACTCTTCATCTCCTCCTTCTCGAGCTCAAAGCTTCAGTTTTTCGTCCTCGGCTCGTCAAAGCGTCTCAGGTTTTTCAAGGACTGAACAGAAAATGAGAAAAAAGCAAAAATCCTCCCAAAAATGGTCAAACCTTCAGAAAAATTGAACTTTTGCAAAATTGTATTAAAAGATAACAGAAAAGTGTGTCTTCTTCTTGTGAGGAAAATATAAATAATTTGGTTTTAAGAAACGTTTGCTCACATCACTGAACACGGCAAATATGTTTCCAGTGGCAGATAAAAAATGTGCAGGAGTTTCATTAAAAAAATGTTTTTCCTCCCATGTTTTTAGAAGCTGATTGTTTAATTACAAAAAGTTTCAACAGCGGAAAAGTTGTTTTAATACAGTTTGTCATTATTTTACATTTATATATGTATATATAAAGTGAAAAAATAATTTTCTCATAAGAGATCAATGTTGAGGCTTTTCCTTAGATGTATTTTTAATTTAAAAAGAAACCAAAACTCACTTTTTTTGTCAGACTTTGTCCTCAGGAGGAGAAATGCTCTTGTTAATGAGCGTCTTGCAGTCAGTTTTTAAAATGCAGGTAAAAAAAATGTTGCCAGTGAAGGAAAAGAGCACTTCTTAGTCAGCATTAAAGAAAAAAATCATAAAGGAGGTTCATGAATGTCATCGCTGCAGAAAGAGCCGTTTATAATCCTGTTAAAGTCTGGGGTTTTTTTCATGCTGGTTTTCAGGAAAAAATAAATGAAAATCTGCGTTTTGTGTCACAGCTGAACATTAAAACATAAATAAATAAATGATCTGACTGAATCCAGCGTATTTTACAAGAAGCGGAGCCAAAATGTTTTCCCTTACTTTTAATAATTAAAGGAAATTAAACGATATAAACAGGGAAAAAAACAACCCTAATGTAGTTTATTAAATCTCTAAACATTTAAACCTCTGCTGGGTTATGAATTAAAGAAGTTGGGCTGTACGACGACCCGCTGGACATCAGATAAAAACTTGTACGTTTTGAATAATTGATGATTCGCTTCATGAAAACAGGAGAAATGTTCAGTTTTTTTTAAACATCCTGGCCAGCGGAACGAGAGGCGGCGCGGCGTTGGCGGTGATTAAATTGGTGAAATGTTAAATGAAACATGAAGTTCACTCGGCTTCCCTCAGCTTCAGGCCTGAATCCAACCCAAACAGAGAGTTAGAGTTTCTCCTGTCCTCCATGTTTGAGCTTCACCGAAACGCTTTAAAATTTAAATAAAGTTCTCGTGGTCTTTGTTCAGTTCATGGAAAAATGTTTAAATTTGTCCTTTTTATTCTGAAGGAGGCTGCTTTTCTGGACAAATTGATATTTAAAGTGTGGATCTGTGGAAAAGTTGTGAACAACTACTATCTTACCTGTTGTAGATGGCTCCGAACAGATTCAGTTCAGAGAGCTGAGCTTTAAAAAAAAACACAGCTAAATAGCCATTAAGTCCAAAATAATCATGAAGAGTACTCTCAAAATCAACCAAAGCTCACAGTAAACAGAAATATGCTAAAGCTAAAATATATTTAAATTATTTATTCTTGTTAGTTTTAGGTCAATTTAACATTTAGAAACATGTTGAATGAAAGACTTTGAAGAGTCTTGGTGCAGGATTTTATTTTGTTTTTATTGTCATCTTGAATTAACATGACTCAGGGGACACTTTATTGTCAAACTGAAGGCCCGTGGGCCAAATCTGGTCCTCATTAACATTTTATTTGGCCCCAAAAGTGATATTTTAAACAAAAAGTAGTTCATCATTACTCATTTTGTCACTGTATTTAGTGCAGTCTTCTCATGACAGCAGTCACAGACACCCCCCCCCACACACACAGTCTATACAGTATACTGAATTATTCTTGTTTTTATGAACTTATGTAGTGAATTTAAACAAATCTGATCAGTCGTTAAAATATAAAAAAAGGTTTTATCCCAAAAAGATTTCACCAAACCAATTAAAGTCAAATCAAACTTTGTTAAAATATAAATCAGCCATGAAATCTTGTTGTCCCAGGTTAAATATATTACAAGTTATAACAAATTAAACATGCATAATGTTTATTTAACAAGTTATTTTAATATTATTTGTAATTAATTTGAGCCAACGATTTTCTGTCAGTAATTACTAGAAACATGACGTAATGTTCTTTATTTCTAACTCCCTAAGAACGTTTTGTTGTTATTTATTACTGTCTTTTGTCATTAATGGAAGCTGATTTAATGGAAAACTTAAAAACATGGTTTTAATTGTTTAAAATATAACAATTCTCAATGTTAGGCAGGCTCTTAAAGAAATCACAGAGACTTTGAGTTTATGAAAAATTTTAATCGTACTTTTAATATTTTCAATAGGGATGCACCGAAATGAAAATGTCAGCCGATATCGATATCCGATATAATTATTGCTCTTATGGCTGATAACTGATATTTACTGATATTACACAAACGCACAAATTACATTACACATATACGCACAAACACAATTGTTTTTTTTGATACTGTAAATAAATGACCAAACCTCTGACATGGCCTTCAGTTATTCCTGGCTGTGCTGCATCAATATCACTATCATGATCAAACAGATGCTGCTCAACCAACCTTCTCCCAAAACAGAAACTAAAGCTAAAAATATGGGAATCAATGTCGGATGTTAATATCGGCCCAGTTTTAAATACCGGCTGATACCGATATTAATGCCAATATACCGTGCATCCCTAATTTTCAATGTTTTTAATCTTTCACCAGAGCGACCAGTTGGAGCTCACCATCCAGACCCTCAAGGTGGAGGTGGAGCGTCAGGGCCGCAGCCTGGAGACGTGGCGCCGGCGGGAGGAGCAGCTGGAGGCCGAGCTGCGCGAGGGCGCCCTGGAGTCGGAGACTCTGGTCCGAGCGCGGGACCAGGCCCTGCTGGAGGCGTCGCGGCTGGAGCAGGAGAAGGAGAGCTGCCAGGCGGAGCTGGACGGCTGCCGCAAGGAGGCGCGGCAGAGAGAGAGGGAGGCGGCCCGGCTCAGGCAGCAGCTGGAGAGCACCAACCTGGCCTTGGAGCGCAGCAACCAGAGGGCCTGTTCTCTGGATGCTGAGCACAGGTACACACACACACACACACACACACACACACACACACACACACACACACACACACTGCTGCTCTCGTGTTTAACCTTGATCACACAATTAACTTTACAAGGCATCAGAGAGGAACTCCTGCTTGTGCCGTGCATTTATCTGTAATGTCAAGTCTACCTTCAATCAACCTCTGACTGACCCGTGTTTCTGCTGCTGCCCGTGTGTGTGCGTGCGCGCGCGCGCGTGTAGACGTGTGTGTCAGCAGCTTTCTGAGTGTAAGGAGCTCTGCACTCAGCTGCAGGACCTGGAGAAGCAGCTCAGCACTCGATTAAACAGCGCGGAGGAGGTGAAGCAGCAGCTGCAGGAGCAGAACGCAGAGGCTCAGGCCAGGATCGGCTCACTTTCTCAGGTGTGTGTGTGTGTGTGTGTGTGTGTGTGTGTGTGTGTGTGTGTGTGTG